TATGAAGAACTTACGAACAAAAATAAGAACTTTGAATAACTTTTAGAGACAGAGAGAATAGAAGTATATTGCCTTGGTATGCATGTTATAATGTGTCTAATGAATAATAAGCTTCCCCTTTATATAATGGGGGACTTTTACCCTAAGTACAATCCTAAGAAAGATAAAAATCTTTCGTTTAGCTAATCACTTATTTTCGGCCGATACGGGCCGAGATTCACGCCGTGATATCCACTTGGGTACGGACATCACAACCCTTTGTTAGTCGTGTGCGATTATTTGGTAATGCTCTCCGAAGTCTTGGGGTTCGAACCGGACCCGGAGGATGTGGTCCCGATGCCCCCGAGGGTAGGTGTTTTGCTCGAGCCCCGATACGAGGGGCTCACAGCTCTGACTTCGATTCTTTATGGTCACGTCCCTGCTCCGTTTGCCTCACCGAGAAATCAGGGTGCTTAGTGGGCTCGATTTTACCCGTATACAGATAGTCCGTCCTTGCTCCGTTTGCCTCACCGAGAAATCGGGGTGCTTAGTGGGCTCGGTTTTACCCGTATACAGATAGTCCCCTCCTTTCTCAGAGAGTAGGCTTGCCAAAACGATGGGAAACGCTAGATGACTCCGGTTCCTTCCTTCGTACGTCACGACGAGGGAGCCGAAACGTCCCATTAGCCGCGTCGTTCTAACTTCGGGCACGTGTCGCTCAGCTGGTTGCCCCCGATTGCGAAGCGTCGATTGTTTCCCTATAAAAGATCCATCCCTTTATTCTTTTTCTACTTTTCAATTAAATTATTACCTTTGATCTTTTCAACCATCATCAAACCTTCTTCAAACCTTCATATCTTCATCCTTGTTCTCTAATCTTCATAGCGATTTTCAGATTTTTACCCAGATTTTCTTTAAATCTTCATACTCTGTTCTTCATCTTCAAAACCCATTTTTCCAAAACTTTGCATTCTTCTTCAAATTTTCAAAACTTTCCCAGATAACAATGGCAAAAACATCGAAATTCGTTCCTCAATAAGTTACCTCTTCATCTTCCCAACCGACGGCTGGTACTGAGGCGGTCGCCCTCTGAAGTAGTCGCCCTCGAAACGGCTTCCCCTGATGTGGTTGCTAACAAACCGGCCCCTGAGCCTCCCTTGAAAGTGTTCATTCCCGGGAGCTGCTCAATTGCAGACGACTTTAAAGTCGAGAAGCCCTCACGCAAACAGGACCGGGGCGAAGGAGTCTCGAGGTACATATGCTCCATGACTGAAGACATTCTTCCCTTAGTTCGAAAGGACTGCAATAGGTGGGCAAGGACGTAGTAGTCCCCATGCCTGAGGATGCCGTTACTACCCACGTGGATGGGTACTTAAGTGTTTACACTTATCCACTCACACTTGGCCCGGTGGACCCCATCATTCTGGACATTTGTAAGAGGTATGAGGTATAGCTCGGGCAATTCCATCCATCATTGTGGAGGATCGTGATCCTCTTCCGCTACTTCGTAAACAAGACCGAGTCCCGTTAGTTCATGATTGGCCACCTGCTTCGATAATACAGTTCCCGAATATTCCGAGGGGGACTAATCAAGCTTACTCGCCGGGCTAGCAAGGCCCCCTTTTTGAGTATCGATGAAGACCAAGACCGGGGCTGGCAGGAATGCTTCGTTCGAGTGAAGACCGAGGATTTGATCCCTCCTGAATACATACCATTCCTTGAGAAGTCGAATGCGTCTCGTAAGTGCAAACTCTCTTTAAACATAAAAATTCTTTTTCTTCAACTTCTTTCTTCTCATTCATGCTTGTGGTCGTGCAGCTGTCGTCCGAGTTCCGAATGCAGTTCCTCGGCTGAAGGAATAAATCGAGGGCATCTATACTCAGATGTCGTACTTTGAGCGCACATGGCACAGACTCTCGAAGGGCTGATGAGAGGCCCATTCTCATGGTAAGGCCTCTTTCTGAATAGCCAATACCGCGTTTCTATCTTTTATTATACTAACTCCTCTTCCCTTTTATTATTACAGGTTTGCCTAAGACCACCGAACTTAAGCCTTCGGAAGGGGACGAGGATGTGCCCTCATCCGTTGATCCCTCAGTTGCTGCCACGGAGGAAAATAAGAAAAGGAAGAGGAAACCCTCGGGCTCCTCGGACTCCAAGGTGAAGAAACCAAAAAAAAGGGTGCTCCGCAAACCTAGGAGGGGCTACAGTTCCTGGGCGCCGGATTCCGACTCTCTTCTCCGGCTTAGGGATGAGCCAGAGGATGAACCCATTTTTGTTATCCATGGGACGACTTATCCCAGGGAATCGGAGGCATCCGAGGGGGATACTCGTGAGATCGACCCCCCTCCAACTCAAAAGACCGATATGGATACCGAGGTGAAACTCCCCAGGATGCCAGATCTGCTCCAAAGGAAGTGCCCGATATAATTGAGATCTCGGGGACGCCCTCCTACACTGAGCCCATGCTCGAGGAGGCCCAAGAGAGAAAGGAGAAGTCCAAGAAGGGGTCCATGGTGCAGACCGACAATGTCCATTCCCCACTTCTTGAACGATCAATGTGACAAGACCCGACCTTTTTATGGTTGGTTCATTTCTTCGGGTGTTTTCCCGGGATGCTTCGGGCTCAACTCTGCTGGGGGCGCGACTTTGGTTCTGCAACTGGGCTATCACCGTATGTTGAGCTTGTAACATTTCGAAGACACCCATAAATTGATCTCATCGCCTTTCCCGTCGTGCGTACCCTAGGCTATCGATCGGGTTCCTCCTCGAACGTTGTTCTCGGGGTCGGTAAGCAAGTTTGCGTCGATGTCCATATCTGAGTTGGCATCTATTGGGTCCGCGATCGGAACTCCGTTGGGGTCAACAGGGGGCACCTCGTTGCTGGGCACTACATTATTGTTCTCGCCATGGTGGCCAGACTCAGCTTCAACGTTCAAGTGAGCAGATCGAGAGTTTGACATTTTTAATTTGACCTGAAATTAAAATCTCAAAGAACAAGCGTAAAACAAAGTGCATTATGGAAATTTATATCAAATTACCACTATTATCCTTAGTCCCACAGTGGATGCCAAACTGTTTACCTAAAAAACGGATAACAATTGAATTTATACGCGATTTTAAGGATATGTGGATTAATTCAATACAAGTGATTAATGGCGTTAGATTAAGTAAATAAAAGACGTAATAAATGGCCAAACTAATGATAAGGGTGATCCCGAGCTCGGCTAATGGCTTAACGAGGAACCTGCCTTCGGTTCCGAGCTTGCACTTATGAAGAACTTATGAACAAAAATAAGAACTTTGAATAACTTTAGAGATAGGGAAAATAGAAGTAAGTTACCTTGGTATGCGTGTTACAATGTGTCTAATGAATAATAAGTTTCTCCTTTATATAGCGGAGGAGTTTTACCCTAAGTACAATCCTAAGAAAGGTAAAAGTCTTTCGTTTTGCTAATCACTGATTTTCTGCCGATACGGGGCCGAGATTCACGCCGTGATATCCGCTTGGGCATGGACATCACGACCCTTTGTTAGTCGTGTGCGGTTGTTTGGTAATGCTCTCCGAAGTCTTGAGATTCGAACCAGACTCGGAGGACGTGGTCCCGATGCCCCCGAGGGCATGTGTTTTGCTCGAGCCCCGATACGAGGGGCTCCTCGCTCCGACTCCAATTCCTTACGGTCATATCCTTGTTCTGTTTGTCTCACCGAGAAACCGGGGTACTTAATGGGCTCGGTTTTACCCGTAAACAATATGTATATTCTTTTTCTATATCAATTTTAGTTTTTAATATACATGTAAAGTTCAGTCTAGTTTTGTTACTTTTAATGCGGCTTAATTAATTAAAAATGTAAAACACAAAATGACAACATGATTACGTATATACAATTAATTCTTTAAAATAATCACCTTTTATTCCACGTCTCTTCTCAAGTCTTCAAATGTGCTACAGCAAATAGAGAACATGTCACGTAACAAAACTACGTGACTAAGTCCCGCATTCTAGTTATACCGAACGAACCAATCCATATGATAAACTCGACATATGGACTTTAAATTTAAACAATTTTTGAATCCGCTTGAAAATCATGCATGAAACAATAACCGATAAATTAACACTTTTCTATATAAGTTTATTACTTTGCTGCAAGTACTCCTTAATTCGATGACCATTCGTGAAATTGATCCGACAAATTATCAAAATAAATTAGAAAAATCCACATTTTTTATAAGAGTTGAATAGTAGCTACTTGATTATAGAGTCTCACGTACGTCCTGTTGATCGACAAGTTTGTATGGTGATACAATATTCTGTTTCAACTCTTTCACATTTTTGGAGTAACATTTAACTTAAGATCAGAGCCGCATGTAGTAGCCAATTTCTCTAAGGTTTGGACTACGGAGTACTATTTGTTGGATTAAAACACTTGTGATCTAATTAAGTACCATTTGTTATTTTTTTGATTCCATATTAGACCAAAAGACGAGGAACAGAGGCGGATCCAGGATTCAAACCTCATGGGTTCTTATATCTACTTCAAGTAAATTTATAATAATTACTAGATTCACGGTCAAATATTTATAGATATTTAGTGAATTTTTAATATATAAATAGAGTCTAAGCAAAAGCTACTGGGTTCATGTAAACTCGTACGTAGTCGAACTCTAGATCTGAACTTAATTTGATAGTGTAAATGCACAAAATTTAAGTTCGTACTCATTATATTCTTGCTCTACAGAAAAATATACGTGCAATTTTAATTCACACACACATTTGAGAGTGACTTTGTTTATGTAAAAAAATAATTAAGTTATATGTACCGTCGTTATAAAATTATAAAATTATCTTTAGGAGACAGGGCGGAAAGAAGAAAGATACTTGCGATGGTGACATCCCACCAGTCGCTTGCCTTTTCCTTTTTCAGATCAACGTTTATTTTCATAGAATATGAATGTACATAATATATTGGCCGAATTTAGGGTTTCTAGATTGAATATAAGCATTTTAGATATTCTTGATCTAATATGCATGTAGTGCTAATCGTCTCTCTTATATGATTTAAACAAGATACCGAAAAAGGGATGAAGCTTACAAAATAGAAAACACTATATATCCTTATTCAAAACCCTAATATTTATATACTAGCTAGGTAAAGCACAAAAGAACAGATTAATAAAGCCCCTTCCTTTATATTTCTTCTGATCTCCTATCTTTTGTTCTTTCTTCTTGCTTAGCTTTATTTCTTTTTCTGAAACACTCTTTGGGTATAGTGTGATATTCTCCACAATAAACCTCATCAACCTTTTACAAAAGAGAAGAAATATTGGAGCACTAACAAAATGGCTTTCTCATCTATTCCCATCTATCTAGATCCTCCCAATTGGCAACATGAGGTAATAAGAAATTTTTCATCTTTTTTCCTTAGCATAGCTTCTTCACTTAGAAAGCTAGTAATTGGGAAAAAAAGATAAATACTCCCACTTTCTTTTCCAATCTTTTACTATTTGAATATATACTATATACTCAACATAGTTGTATTTGATTTCTAGTTCTCTTGCAAAATTTTGCAGCAAGGAAATCACCAACAACAACTTGGAGTCGCAAATGAGAATCCCTCTCAGTTATCACCAGCTATGCTGCCACCTCCGGCAGCTGGAGGAGAAGGTGGCGGCGCAACTGACTCAATTAGGCCTGGCTCGATGACAGAACGAGCCAGGCTAGCAAAAGTAACACAGCCAGAGACGGTCCTAAAATGTCCACGTTGCGAGTCCACTAATACAAAATTTTGTTACTTCAATAATTACAGCCTTTCTCAGCCACGTCATTTCTGCAAGACTTGCCGGAGATATTGGACTAGAGGTGGCGCGCTGAGGAACGTCCCCGTCGGAGGGGGATGCCGGAGGAACAACAAGAGAGGAACTAAAAGAAGTAGATCAAAATCCCCAATTAGAAGCGAAAAAAGATATAGTCCAATTACAAATGCCACAACCTCTAATAATAGTATCCCCCATTTGCCTCACCCAACACATTTGTCATTCTTGAGTACCCCTAATTTGCATAATTTCAGTGGCTTCACATCTACTGAAAATGGCCTCAATTTTGGAGGATCTCAACCTCAAGGTGGTACAAGAGATCAAATGGAAGTCCAAGCCAGATTTATTGACCAATTTAGATTTCAACAAATGCAGCAATTTCCATTTTTCTCCACCTTTGAGCAACCTAGTAATAATTTATACCAATTTGAAGCAGCTACTGAATACGATGTGGGAGCTACACAAAATGTGAAGGTGGAAGAAAGTAAAGGTACTAATAGCCAAGGGCTAAATTTACCAAGAAACAATTTGGGGGTCACAAATAATCAGTTTTGGACAAATATCTCTGGTTATACTTCTACTTCCACTAGCCAGCTATTGTGATTTTCTTATGCCATCTTCAGAGAAAACCCCATCAAGATTGACCTATATTTTTTTCCGATAATGGTCGACTTGTGTGCACGACTATTTTGAGTATCGATTTGCTGTTTTCCACCAGCACAGTACTGAGCAAGCTTGAGCTTTTCGATCGTTTAACTACAACAGGTTCTACCCCTATTTAATTATAGTGAAGATATTGAATTATGAAGCAGCTTTCTTGAATTTCAATCTAGTAATATGGAGTTCGATCGTTTAAAGAGGATTCTCACCTGCTAGAAAACTTAGTAATATGGTAGGCTTTGATTTCATTATTTCTCAATTTTTTTGTTCTTTATGTACTGTGCGGATGTTTTTAGATCAAGTGTAAGTTTTTTTATTATCCATTCATGGGGTTTAAACATTATCTAACATGACGGGGCTGCTTGGTTATTATAAGAGATGAAATCTAATATGCACAGTACTTAGTGACTGGTTATATATTGAGTTTATTTTAATGGAATTACGTCGGGTCAATATTTTCTCTTCTTCTTCAATTTTTATTTTTTATTTTTGATTATGATAACTGGCAAAGTTACTGTCATATGACCAAGAAGTTACGAATTCGAGCAGTTAAAACAGCCTCTTGCTTAAATTAATTTTTTTTTGTGACAATGAGTCTTTCATCAAAGTTTCATGCTTTCTACTATGATTTACGGATTTGCATTCGAAGCTCATGTTCATGCATACCCCGTAACATGGAGTCACGAATTTTTGCAAGGGGATTTCGAAAAAATACTACTACACTAATATGTCACCTTGAAATTTGGAGCAAAACTAATTTTTGAAACCCCTTTATTTGTCATTGCACAAGAATCTTCACTAACGTAAGGAGATTCAATCAATTTATATATAACTAAAAATAATAATTGTTGTCCTATTTACCTATATAATTTTAGGACGAAGGAGATTTAATTGAATCTCTTGACTCTACATAGCTCTGCCATGTCTGTAGGCAGAAGTAATATAGGAGCTAGATAGAGTTAAGTGAGTTTCAATGAGCTTTTATCTGTATATATATAAAATTCGAATCGAAAGTAAAAATGTCAATTGAACCAACAATACTCGCCCTAAGTTCAGTCTTTCTTGTAGCTCATTGCTATTCATGTGGAATTGTCAGTGGTGATGCTTAGCCAAGCAGAGCAACAGATACTGAACTAACCGTCCAAATTGAGTTCATTAAATGCTAGTAACTCTCCCCATACTTTGCAACTTTTTTTCTACCTTTGTTTTACAGAAGCCCTATTTTTCCTCATTTGCCTTTCTAAGGCCAACAGACCCCTTCATATTGTTCAGTGGTTAATCTCCCTTTTGTTTCTCATTCAATGTCTAATATTTGTATTGAGACTCAACTGAATCCGAATTTGCGTCGGGATCAGAAGTCTCGCATTGGAGGGGTGAGGTATAGCACTCCATAATAAAAGCGAGTTTATAATCATGGCTCGAACACAAAATTTCTGGTTAAGATAAAAGAGTATTTATCACTCCACCAAAATCCTTATTGGTTAGTGGTTAATTTTCACTTCGATCATAACAAGTCCGTCAGTAGGGGCGGATCTAGCTTAGTATATGTGAGTTCCCCGGAACCCAGTAGCTTTTGCACATACCCTGTATACGTATTAAAATTTTTATTAAATATCTAAAAATATTTGATTTTTTACTTTTTGTATATTTATTTAAAGTTATTATAGGAACTCATAAACTTCAAATCCTGGATCCTCTGTCGCGATAAATCCTCAATGCTTAGAATGGTTCAAAAATATTCCAATCCAGTCTCAAAACTTAATGCAACGAATCTGTAATGTATCATCACTTTATTACTGACAATTCAAGTACACAACTCTTGGGCTCCCACTATAGTCACTAATTTTGGAAGTTACACATTCCCATATGATCAAATGTCTCGTATTTTTGGGAGATTAATGTGAGGTTAGTTATTTTTTCACCCTTATTCCAAGAAAACTGTTTCTTGCTGGCCTTTAGACGTCAAGAAAGTGATTTGCCATTCTCCTATTATAACTATAGTTGTACTATTGTTTGTGATATTGTATAGAGAGGAGAGAGATGAACAAAAGGGAAAACAATAAACGCCAAATTCTCACTCAAAACAATGCCATGGAAAATGTTGTAGCCTCGTTATTGAATAGTCGTAGTAGCATTCTTGATTTCTATGCAGTACTACTAAGATACTCTATCATTTTAACTTATAGTATGACGTATATGAATTTAAGAAGGAAATAAAAGTTTTTGAAATTTGTTATTTTAAATATGCCTCACATTTGTTTGGTTAAAATTAAAATACTTCTCATTTGTTGTTTTTTGGTAAAATAGTGAAAGTACCGTTCCTTTATCTACTTAAGTCTCACATTAGTTGGAGTATTCTGTTGTTATTTGTTTTGAAACAATATTCACTTTATTGGACTCAATATTCATTCTTTACATGATATTAGAGCTACATGTACTCATCCGGTCTATTATTTGTTTATCTAACGTTAGACCTCCATGTTATATTATTCATGCTTTAGATGTTCAACATCGAAGAGCGAGGGTCTCACACGTATAAGATGTTGTCTCTTTATATAATTTTAGACGATCCTTACGTCAATTAGTTTTTGGGATGAGTTAGTTCAAAGGTTAAAATATTTTCTTTATTTTATATGGTCCTTTCTCTAGATAAGAAGGTGAATATAATGTAGCAATGGAAAAGTGACTTGTAAATTATGGGGAACAAAAACTAAACAGTTTTTCGTCTATTCATAAAAAGGGTAATTTGGTGTATAAAGTATTCCGTGTTCGCACAAGATCGTGACTTTATATAAATACATAATGATGGCTTACATATAAGTTTTTTTTTTTGCAAAAAAGAATCTGAATGGAATTTGCCTTTTGCAATAACCAAGACTAAGTTTATACTAAGAATAAAGCTTCACAAAAACAGGATACCAACAGTCAAAAAGCATCTCCTCTCTGCATCATGTCACGTACTTTCCTCAGCCCCACTCCCCCACAAAGGCACAAAAGGATGAAAATATAAGAAGTAAAAATAAAAATACAAGAGTGAGTATGAAGGAGCCTTACAGTAACGATAAAATTATATTCGCGTGACTTATAGATCACTGATTTAAGCCCTAAAACCAGTCACTAATTAATATTTGAATTAAGTTAGATTGTCTATATCATACACTCCTTTGAGTGCGATCCTTCCCCAAATTTTATGAACGCGAGATGTCCGAACTGCCCTTATAAGAGTAATTATGATGGGTTTTGGTCGGTGGACTGATTGTACTAGTAAATATTCCGGAAAACGAAGACGAACTGGGGGTATCTGAGAAAGATTGAGTGGGAAAATAAGAGAAATGGCAAGGGACAAGGCCCTCACAGAGGCACAAAATTAAGTGCTCTGTCATTTGTGATTGTGAATATTATCACTACTCCTTCGAGTACACTTTAAATGATTTTTTGATCATTTTTTGTGGTTCACAATTAATTGATTTTTTCAAATATCAAGAATGAATTAAATTCTTCTTTTTAAAGTTGTCCTTGAATTAAAGAGCTTAGGAGTAGTTTGTTATATTTTCAATGAGCAAATTAAACTTAATATGGTCAATTTCATTGTTAACTAATACTAAAAGATGAATTTTTTAATATGCGTAAAAAAAGTCAAAAATATCACTTAAAATGGACCGGAGAGAGTACCTCTTATCTCACATAATAGTTCTATTCATAAATTTAAGGGGTATGATGAGATGGTTGGAGTTTCGAGTTCTAACTTTTTGAAAATGCAAATCTTTTTGATATGGACTAATTAAGGAGCACTTTTTGATATGAAAATTTATTAAATATATAAAAATATTTAATTGAGAACCCAATGGTTATGTGACAAATTTAAAATTTATAAATTTCAAATTGTGGCTCTGACTCTGTCTTCGGGTCTACCCATACTAGTCTAATCCGTGGTTGTATTTAAGTGAGGCGTTAAAGGAGAGTTAAATAAAATGTCTTAAGGAATATGCAAAAATCTTTAAAGAACAAATAATAAAGATTGGAGGTATATATGTAATAAGTTTCTTACTTGCTTCCTTCGGTCATTTTGACGTATCATTTAAGTTATTGTCAAACCTATTATGAACACACTTAATAGTCTTAATCGTAAGGTTTATTTGACCAAATTACCTTTATTTCCTTCTGGAATGAGTAATTTATGATTTTATGCCTTCTTGGAGTACTAGTAACTGTAAGGGGCAAATTATTTTTTTAAAAAAATACTTAATTAATGGTTTTCTTAACTTGCATATACACAAGCATAAATTAATAGCAGGAGAATGCATGTATATACGTTAGCATGTTGATGTGCCCACATGCATCAACGTGAACACGTTATCTGTTCCCATTGTTGCCTTCACTTTTTTATAGCTGACGCCTGACGTCCTTATTCCTTCTATCCAATCTCTTTCTGCTTTTTTCTGTCTTGTCTTCCAATACCAGCAGTACGTACTCTTATTCTATCTCTTCATTTCTCTATGAAGACCTCACATTCCACCACATGCTCATTACGAGCTGGATTGGAGACGAAATCAGAAACTTTTTTAAGAATGTTCAAATTTTAAAAAAATAAAATAAAAATTCTCCAACAAAGGGTATTCAATATATGTTATATACCTATAAAATCTAATATTTTATCTTTATACATAATATAATTTTCTGACAAATGGTGATCAATTGACCACCCTTACCAGGGTGTAGCTTCGCCCCTCGTTGGAGGCAAGATGTTCCACCAGATGTGCATTACAGGTAGGGTTGGGGGTCGGACGTTCCACCAAATGTGCATTACGAGTCGGGTTGGGGCCAGACGTATTGAAGAGAGGAGTAGCACGTGACTCGCACGTGAGTCAGTAGGATTAGTTAGGAAGTTAGTTATAACTAATTATGGGATTGAGTGTTAGAGAATTAACGGAAGCAGTAGAATTAGTTAGCTTAGCTGGTAGTTGTATTGTATATATATACTAGCCACATGTCAATGTATTCAATATGATTTGAGAAAATAATTTCAACTCAATTTGCTCTCCAATGGAGCCTATGTTCTAGAACCTTCTGGTTAATTTCTCTTCTCTCATTTCAATCGAGCTAATCTCATATCTTTATCATGGTATCAGAGCACGGGAGCTGGATGCATGCTCATTGTGATTGTTCTCCTCTGTTTTTCTGCAGAGCTATTTCGTTGCTGATTGTTCGAGCTTTTCTCGATCGATTAACCTAGGGTTTATTTTTCGATTTGCAATTAGCAAGTCTGTAATTCGTTGAAACGAAGACATAACTCAACTAAATATGTCAGCTATGGCAATTGGAGAAGAACCTTCAACTAGAACGAGCACAGGAACGACCATAGATCATCACCATCCCTTGTATCTACAGCCCTGTGACACTCCAGGTAGCTCCTTGATTT